CTATATCTATATATATATATATATATATAGATATAGATATACACACATCTATATCTACATAGATATTTGAGAAACAGGCATTACGCATATACAAGACTTTGAATAGAATGCCTTAGTTGAAAATTTAAGCTCTTATCCAACAAGCTTAGCGACTCACTTTCAATAATGATTTGGTTAACAAAAAAAATAAAGAAATTTAAATTCCTTCTGATTTAAATCATTAGATCTAAAACTTGTTTTAATTCTATTTATGTTATTTTACATTTGTACGGTACCCCTAAAACAAAAGGAAAAAAAAATCATTTTCTTCCCAAAAAAAAAAAAAAGAAAAAAAACAGCTGACCTGTTAATACCTAATAGCAGAGCATGGAACCCAAAGCTTTGCTTACGAATCTACATCACCATTCTCTTCTCCAAACTTAAGTAAATCCTATAACGATGTGTAACAAAGAAATATGTAAAAACATAATAAAAAATTAGTTTAAAATAAATGCATAAACAAAAATAAATAAATAAATAAAATGAAACTAAAATTGAAATGCTTTTTATTTTATTTCTTTTTGCCTACCAGTTCTCTACAGCCTTGGGCATGGGCATCTCCACTGCAGAAGCTGAAAAGCTTTCAACAGAAACATAAAATCATAAAGAATGATGATTCAAATCTACATTGCAAGATCTTCCTGAAGATCTACATTTCAAATCTACAACCTTGACATCAATTTTTTTTAAATTTTATTTTATCATTATTTAATCAATCACAGTCAATTTGGTTGTATTTTCGTCATCACGATCAACCTCACATAAAATCAAAAAAATTGTAAACCAGAAAACCTAACCTGAAACATATGGTTAAGCAGAAGACCTAAACCTTTTATCATGCGCGAAGACACCGGACAATAACACAAAAGATGCAACCCGTTCAGAAGAGAGAGAATGATTAGAAAACTAGGCTTGCTGGGATATTGGTTAGAACAATTTTTAAGTGCTATCGAAAGTGATTGAGATTACTTCTACAAAAACCAGAAGAATACATAATTCTGAATTGTAATCTTAGAAATAGCTAGAATTCATTAAAGGTTGCAGATAAAGTAAATTATGTGTTCGGTTCAAAGTTGAAGTACTTAACTAGTTTAATTTCATTACAAAATATCATCCAGTGGAGTTGATCAAATTTACATTGTAGGGATATTCCCTTTACATTGCATTCTAATTGCTGAAAATCAAGCATCACTTAAATGAACACCAAAAATATAAATGTATGTACCTTAGAATCAACTTTGTTGGCTGATTTGGTTGAAGCCTTCAGAAACATTCATGCATCAACCCCATGGCGTTCATGAACTCTATTCATAATCAGCAACCATGCAATAGTCTATGGTAATATCTGCGATTCAAGTTAGTCATTTATGTGACATCTAAAATGGTTGTCGTTCAATGAGACAAAAAAATCAACGCTTAATATTTTTCCCAATTATAACATCATATAAGATAATTCCCTCGATATGCAAGCAGTAATTCGTGGTAGAAATCCTTCCTATCCAAAAATCAATGGGCACTTCTTTCTTTTTCAACATTGCTTGATAAGACAATGGAATTTCAAGTTTGAAAAAAAGACTTTACAAACGTATTAAGAAGTAAATCTATAGCATAAACATTAGAACTGCTTGCCACCATACAATTTCCGATTTCTAGTTTAAACGATGCATTCAACTAATACAAAATACTAGGCTGCAAATGAGCCCAGTGTTCGATGAGCTACTCATGACTCGGCTCGATTGGAGCTTTAATTATATCCTTTTGTTTAAGTATCGAATAAGCTTAAACACTTATTAAAATAATCAATTATTGAAACGAGCATACTCAAAAATATTGTTGCTCGACTTATGATCATGAACAAGACCATTTAAAGCTTGCTAAGATGGTCGACTAAACCTGGATATTTACATGTAAGGAGTTCAAATTTCAGTAATACAAAAAAACATTTAAGGAGTTCAAATTTCTCCAATGCTTCATTTGTATTTCATAATTTTATAGATAATATTACAATAATAAAAATCACAAAAATAACTAATTATGTTATAATGGAGTTCGCCTTCATGTCCAAACAATCAAGTTTTCGAAATAATTTTTTGTCCATAATATCTCTTGACTTGTTAAATATCTGGAGGGAACTCCTCTATATCATCAACCCATCGAAAAAACCTGCAATCTTAATGTGTTCTAATTCTGGGACTTCAATAAAATCTACTCTCGTAGTTGCATCATTCTTTTGATGTGTATTCAAAATACTGCATACCACGATGGCAATACATGGCTCTTGATGATCTTGAACTCATTTTTCCTGATATTATAGCACATTACACATTTAATTGACAAATTAGACTACACAGATAAAAGAAAAATAACAAAAAAATTATGCCTTAACGAGGAAAATATCAATCTTTGAAGTCATAACTTTAAAAATTAAAAAATCAAAACATGAAAGAAAAAATAGACATCAATCAATCCTTAATACATCTGAAATAGTAATCATCAACCTGAGTGCACTACAAAATATTAATATGATATACGCAATGACTTCACTAAAGCAAAGGTAGGATCCTCCTCATCAAGTGTGTTGAAGTCATTCACACAAAATTCTTCCTCGAGCAATGATTGTCATGCCCATATACAAGTTTAATCTTCATCTAAGACGCTGAAATCAACATCGTTCCGAGATAGATGCCTCCATATAAAATTATGTAGAGTTGTCGTTGCAATAACTGTCTTTATCCACTTTTTGAAAAAATATGTTGACATATCTCAGAGTATGAAACAATCTTCTTTCATACGTCGAATGCTCTCTAGATAACACTCTGTAATGATAAGTGTCTTTTGTTGAACAATATACTCTCTTCTCTAATAATTTTGGTTGTGCTCAAAGTCAGGAAGGTGCTACCTCATATCGGGGAAGGGCTTTAAGATATCATGAATCAACGAGATAATATTCTCTAAATAATAATATTATTAGTAAATCTCTTCAAATGGAATATTTCATATAAGGTTATGAATGTCTAGCTGAGACGAGACATTGAAAATTTGTATTAAATTTGAATATGCGACTATTATGAGCACTGTCTTCTCATCCAACCATTAAGAAAGTAAAACACAAATTGAAGTCACAAATTGCTAAAATATTCTATATTGCAGATCCACGGAATCAGATATATATAATCTAGTCATTGTTGTCAATGCATACATCGACATTTGTGCCATCAATTGTTCCTATACAATCATAATTAAAATATTCATCAAAACATTTTTTTTGTCAAACATCCATACAAATTTATAAGAACTTGGGCTTATTGTATAAAAAATGATCTTAATTTAATAGAACTAAATGAAAATATGACACTAAATATGACACAATGGAGAAAAAGGATTCATGTAGTCGACCCCACGTAGTGGGATTAGAACTTTGTTGTTGTTGTAAACATGCATACAAACTAAATAGATAAATCATTACATTGAAAAAAAATGTATTTCATGTTATGAATTTCTCTAAGTGTACGCACAAAAATTGGATATATGAGTTTGACATTCTAACTAAAGAGTTAACACTAGTATTGAAATATCTGATAATTCTCCTTGTTGAGTGTTGGAATCGCTTGGAGTGCCACAAATGAACTCAATATATGATATAATTTTAAAAGTGATGGCTAATACTTCCCGGAGTGTAAATAAAGACAATTCATGCAAATCATAATTAATATGCAATTCATCCAGCAAATAAAAAAAAAAGAAATTCCCAGCATCCGAGACATAATATGAATTCTGCCTGGATGACCAACGAGCAGGTCATCAGTCTGCAATTCATCCAGAAAATCAAAAAAAAATTTCCCAGCAACCAAGACATAATATGAATTCTGCCTGGATGACCAAAGAGCAGGTCATCAATCCACTTGTCACCCATACATGACAATGACACACACGTTGTCCTGCACACTTTTATTTGATAGAACTCATTAATAAGTCATACAATAGTAGTCAAAATTGTTGATCATTTCACCATCTCTTTAATTGACAACTCCAGCTGATTAATTTAAGCATGTCAGAATATATAAAAAATAACAAGCTTTGCTGACGCGGGGTTCCATAGAGAGGGCTAAACTGGTTCAACCAAGAGGGGATAGGGGCTTGTTAGTCCATGATAAGGGGCTAGGGTTGCCGCCCAAGGAGAAGGGGTCTTTCCCTCCTAGTTATCTACTATATATATTTGTTATTTTCAGTTTTAGGGTTAGTTATGCTTTGAGATTTTTGCAGTAGCAATCAATTATGACACATACTTTGACAGTGCAGTGAATTTTGTTCCATGTTGCATGACTATCTTCTCTCTTTGCACAGACTTTATGAACTTGTCATGCATCTGTCTTCGAGTGGATAGATATACAAATCATTCTATGAAAAGTTTAACAAAATACTTTTCTAACTGATTATGTTGGTTACTTCCTCTAAAATGTCTTTGACGCCGCCCACACCACCACCATTCGACCTCTCCATCCAACACAAAAGTAGTTAACGGTAATTTTCTTTCATTCGAATACATTATGCTATCTAATATCTTTTATATCCTCATCAGTCAGTTCTCCAATTCAATCAGATCTTCAAGTCCCATGAACAAAGATGGACGCAAATCTAGAAATATCTTCAAGTATTATCCACAATAGTTGTATCACTTTCAATAGGCTACGATCTGAACGCTTGAATTGCTTGAGTCATGGTTGCCATCATCCGGATCGCGACATTAGTATTCACATTAACAACAACCAATACTTCATTTTCTTACACTCTTTTTCTACAATCACAGGTGCAACCATACGTCTGAATTATCATAATTACTTAATTAGAGTTAATTTTAATTTTCAAATTTATTTTTATAAAATTTTATTGTACTAATCCTATTGCCTTTTTCATCAGTATACATGAATTAATCCTAAACCTTGGTACTCTGATACTACTTTTGTCACGATAATGCCCAGTATCGTTCTTATGTTTGTTACCCAAGGAATGGGAAACGAAGAATTAAAGGAGAAGAATGAACGAGTCGGACATGAAAGAGTTGAAGGAGAGGAAGTAAGCAGTTAGAGCAAGGAGGAAATGAAGTGGATCAAAAGTTAAAGAGTCAAATTTGTCCTATAAATCTTGTATCTGACAAGAAGGCGATCAGAGAGCAAAGGAGAGAGAAGGAGATGGAGTAGTGTACCCAAAAAAGCGACGCAGCGACCGGTTGCTCTGTGCTAGAAGGAAGATGGCGATCGTCGCATTTTTTTGATGCGTTGAAATGTGACTGAAGGTAAACGGAAGTCGAGCACTGCGTGCGAAGAACTTGTCACCTAATTTGAAAGAAAAAGATGTTAAAGGAAGGAGCAGCGGAGGAGAGTCTCGGCCTAACTTGCAGCGAAGAGGAAGAGGGAAGGAGTTTTGCGAAGGACGGTTCTTGCGGGAAGGAGTCGAAGCCGTGTGTGATCGAGTCGAAGAAGAAAAGGGAAGGAGGCGCGAGTGGGAAGAACCAAGGAACGTCATCCACTTGTGCATTTTCGACAGTTGAAGGAGAAACGTCATCCACTCATGCATTTTCAGCATTAAAGCAAAGGAAGAGTTTATTTAAGGTAATAATAATAATAACAACAATAACAATATATATATATAAATTAAGTATGATTACACTTAAGTAATGAAAGATAATAGCTTATTAAAATAGAAAAGTTAATTAGACTTTATAACTTGTTAGGCATTCAAAATTAGAGGGGTCAACAACAAGAAAAATCAAATAATAAATTAATCGGCAATCGAGGAGAGTACTTGTATTTTTAAATTATAGTAATAATTTATTTATTCTCAAATGTGTTTGCACTTGATTACATTTGTACATGTTTTATTCTAGTTGAAATAGTACTTTCCTTTATTGTTCATATCGTTATGGATATCATAGCTACTTACCATTGCATTTGATGTATGTCTTATAGTATGTGAAATTGAATGTGATGAATATATATGTTTATGTTGACTGCTTGTGTGTGCATGATTGACTATGATGGAGCATTCCTTGATGATACTAATAGAGGAACATTAATGTACTCATGCATAAAAATGAAAAAAGATTATTGATATTGATGTGACTTAATTGACACAATTTCTATACGTTTTATCCAGTGATTATTGTATAGATATTAAATGATATTGATATAATAATGATATAAACCATTTTAAATAGCATGTCAAATGTTTATATTCATTTATAAAGTAGATTAACTGATATACATATTGTTCTTTCTTTTTCTTATATAGTTACAATTTAAAAGTAGAAATATTCACTGGCTCGTTTAGCTCACAGTTTTAACTTTT